GACGCGTTCGGCTTCGGCGGCGGAATGGACGAACCGCCAGAAGACAGCTCGCGCGCCGCCAGCTCCGCGCAGCCCAACATCGCCGGGCGTTGCGGCGAGCTCACCAAGGAGGACCAGGACGAGCAGCCCGCGATTTTCAAGAGACTCGCCAAGGCGCACCACGGTGCGTTCGAGGACTCGTCCTCGCCTCCGCCAGTGAAGAGGGCGAGGGGGCTCATGATGGGCTGCGGTGGTCCGTTGTCGCCCGTGGATGCCGATGAGCAGAGGGCGATCTTCGCTTCGATTGCCGTCTCGGCCCACGGGGGAGGAGAAGAGGGAGAAGGTGGAGGCGGAGGAGGAGGAGGGGGAGGAGGGGGAGGGGGTGGACGAGGAGGAGGAGGAGGAGACTGAGGAGGAGGAGGGGGAGGCGAGATTAGCGAAATCACCAAAATCAAAGAAAACCTTCAAAACATACAACAACAAAAAAACAACAAAACAACAAACTATGATTTCTGGCGAATTTTGGCCGCCAGCCTTCCCAGAGATTCTCCAGAAATTATTTTTGTTTGGTTTTTGAAGGTTTTCTTTAGTTTCTGACGATTTCGATGATTCCGAAAAGGAATGGCACGGGGAGGAGGAGGAAGAGGAGGAGGAGGAGAGAAAGGAAGAGACAGGAGAAGGGAACGGAGAAAGAAGATATCGATCGGCGGCCGCGGTAAAGACGAATATGTATGATCATGTGGGGGGGGCTACCATATATATATATATATATATATATATATATATATATTTATATATATACATATATTTACACACGAATGGCATGCGAGCGCGGCAATCTCGCATTCTGCGCGGTCCTCTCCCGTTTCTCGTCGTCACATGCAGCATCTTGTGGATCCGAAAGGAGCCCGCTGTTCAGATTATGTAACTCGATCCGCTCTCGGGGCAGTGCGAGTGTACAACATTGGGGGCCCATGCCAAAGAAGCACCTTGCGTTTTGCCTTACGTTTTGCCTGGGCCGGAGGCCTCCTGGGGGAAGGCCTCCTGGGGGGCCTCTGGGGGCCTCCTGGGCGCCTCTCGGGGCCCTTGCCTGTCGGGGCGGGCGGCGGGGGGTCGGACTGCGCCGCCGCTTCAAGGCGCCTCGCGGGTGCGGGCAGAGCTGCCGGGAGTTTGCGTCGAAGTTGGGCGCAAGCGGGGCCTAGCCAGCACGCCGCATCCCGCGGGGCCCTGCAGAGCCAGAGCTGGGTTGAGCCGGGCCATGGAACCGCTCGCGGCCCCGGAGGTGGCCTTACGTTTTGCCTTGGCTGGGCTTGGGAGACGCCCCACCAAAGAGTTGCAGGGCTGTTTTCGGTGGTTCGAAGATGGGGTCCTGAGAGGTGGGGTCCCAAGGACGAGGTGCCTCAAGCAATGTAAATTCACCCTTGGACCCCTTCCTATCCTTAGGACCCCATTTCTCAGGACCCCATGTTTGGAACCCGGCTGTGGAGCCGCTCGCGGCCCTGGAGGTGGCCTTCCAGTGGGGGCCCATGCCAAGAAACACCCTGGTTGCATCCAGGGTGCCCTGGGTTTCTTGGGGTTCGATGGTCTTGCCATTGGAGGGCGTGGCGTTCTCACACCACAAGTCAAGGGACGTCCTGGGGTCTCAGGGTTGGGTTTCTTGTGACCACTGTGGGGGGTCTGTTGTGGACTGGCCTCCGCTGTAGATTGACCCCAGAATTGACATGTCCCTCGAATTGTCCAGAAAAACAATCTTCGCGAACATTTTACGTATTGCATGCAGAGTCGAGCTTTCGGGTAAATCAACTCTGTAGTCGATCCCCTACTCGACATGGAGGGGCGGTGCACGGGGGGGTGAAGAAAGGTGTTCCTTTTGCACCCGAAGGAGGCCTGGGCCCCAAAAGGGGCACGAAAGGTGTGTGGCTCCTCTCCCTATTCTAACACGCAACTCTTGGAAGGCTAAATTCTGAATCGGCGCTGGTGTATCCCTGGCTTGAGAGGACAAGTGTGTTTTTAATCCAGTTGAATCGGCTTCATCCCGCTTATTATGGCTAAATATTTCCGGATCCGGGTTGATCCTGGATGTCGTGTGGCTCGGTGGCCCCTTCATCGGGCTTGATGGCCGTTCGTCGTTCTGATGAAGACTTCCCATGAGTTGGCTTCCAACTCGGTCACGCGCACAGGGGGCGTCGGGGGAGGGGGGAAGGCTTCTTGGAAGCACCACTGCTTCTTCGATGGCGCGGGCCCTCTCTGCAGGTGCAGGGCCGGCGCCTTCTGAGAAGCAGTCTCCTTCTAAACAGGCTTCGCCCCTCTCCCTATAACCCCCTCTGCGCGCCCCCAACCAACCCATTGATCGCCCTCCCATGAAGCTCGGGGGCAGCAAAGACTTGGCATCGCCAGGACGTGTGCATGTTTCCTGCGGCGAGGACCATCGAGGAGCATCCTTGATCATTTGGCGAAAAAGCCACGCACGAAACCGAAAAAAACACAGGGAATGGACGTCCGAGCGATGGCCAGAAGAGGGGGGTGATGACTAGGGGGGGTGGATATATCATGGCGTGGGCCATGAGATTTCCCCGGATTTCATGGCGCCTCTTCTTATTCCATTACGTCCCTGGCCCCCCCCCCCCAGGGCCGCGCACATGCCGCCGGCCATGATTTGCATCCCCCCCTCTTGGACGCCCCCCTATTGGCCGCTCCCACGAAGCAGCGAGCCCGACCCGAGCAGAATCTGTCGGCTCGATGCCGACCGCTCCCGGGCAGGTCCGCGCGCCCGTGCGGACCTGCGGGGCGCGGGGGGCGGGGGGGAGGGAGGGAGGGAGGGAGGGAGGGAGGGAGGGAGGGAGGGAAGGAGGGAGGGAGGGAGGGAGGGAGGAGGAGGAGGAGGAGGGAGGAGGAGGAGGAGGGGAGAGGAGAGGGAGGAGGAGGAGGAGGAGGAGGGAGGAGGAGGAGGGAGGAGGCGCGGCGTGCGGTGCCCGGACGGGGCACCGCGCCACCGCTCGCCAGGCCCCACCAAGAGAGCCCCTGGCCTCGACCAGACGTTTTTTTGTTTGTTTCTTGTTGTTGCTTCGGCGAGGACCATCGAGGAGCATCCTGGCTCCTCTTGCGGAACAAAAAATGTGTGCACGCCGTGCACGCACTCGGACAGAGCACAGGGAATGGATGTCCGAGCGATAGCAGGGGCCGCCAACACTCCTCCAGGCACCTGGGGCAACTCACTGTTGTTGTTCACTTGTTCGGAGTCCAGGCGGTTGGCACAGGTCGAAGGACAGCAACGTCACAAATCCAAACTTTTGGAGCCCCGCGGCCCAGCTTCTGTCGACGGCCCAGGATTGGGCCATAAGATCGCGCCGCATCGCCGATGCATCGGCGATGCGGCTCGACGTGGAGCCCATTTTTGCTCCACGCCGACGTCGCCGATGCATCGCCGATGCATCGCCGATGCATCGCTTGTTGATGCGTGGCCGATGTATCGTCGATGCGGCGCGATCCTCCGAGCCCGCGTTCTCGGACCCCGTGAGGGAAGCCTAGAAGTTGGCTCCAATCGAAGACAGGCAACGGCACAAGCATACAGTCGGGGCCCTGAAGAAGGAACCTTTTTGGTTGGGGAGGGCCTCCGCGTTCCTTAAGTGTTTCACAGCTTGCCTCAGGTTTTCCTTCTGCTTTCGATAGGAAGTCGAAGTTTAACTTCTGGAAAAAGGGGCCTCGCTCCTTATTTAGGGTTCCTTAGGTCAACGCCCCAACTGTAAACTTTCGGAGCTCCGCTCGGATCCCTCGGAGCGGCGCAGGGCCCCCTCTGGCGGCGCCCGCCTCCGGCGCCGCCCCCGGCACGCTCCGCTCTCCGGGGAGAGGGGGGCCCAGCGCCCAGCCCAGCAGGTCCGTGCGGAGTTTCGAGCGTGGATGTCTACAGTCAACCCGCATACTAAGGAAAAGCGACTCTCCAATGATACCCCAAGGGTAACCTTGGAAAGTCGCTTATCCTTACTTTCCGCTCGCAAAGACACGACCATGGCCTGCCGAGGCCCTTGCATCCTGCTGGTGCGTCCTCCTTCTACGGGTTGACGGTCTGCAGTTTTCTCCTTCTGCTGACGGAGGCTCAGGTTGGCATCGCCACCAGCATCGGCAGTCGCCTCCATCGAGAAGAGAATTTCCAGACCTCGACGGTGGTTATAATACTCGGGCTTCTTTTGTGTCCGATGTCACCACCAGCACCAAACTGCAGTATTCAGACCTATGAAGACTGGGTGGCAACTCATGGGAGCCTCCCATGACATCTTGCTGCCTCTTGCGAGTCGACGCTAACCGATGCAAATCGACACTGATCGACGCTAACTCGAGATGCGAGTCGACGCTAAACCAGTGTCTTCTCATCGACTACCAGACGATAGCGCACGCTAATACACCCCAAAAACAGAATTGCGAGGACAGAAGGCTACCATGATTCGCTAACGAATGAAGGGGCCATGTAGCCAGATTGAGCCAGGATGCAGCCCGATTTGGCCGGATGAAACCGGATTGAGCGGGATTGAGCGGGATTAGGCCGTATTTCGCCCACGGATGTACAAGCGTTGATGGTGAGCGTCAACCTTCCAGGAGCTGCTAACTATATCTTGATGTTAAATCTTGATGCCATCTTGAGGCTTCAAGTGCCCCTCCGGGCCGAAGAGGCGAGTTGTTGGAATTGGGGGCCTGGAAACTGGAACCAGCACCGACACAGGAGGCTGCCTCCACCAGGGAAAGAGGCGGCTACTGCCCTAGAGCTGCCTCCTGACGAGGGGCTCTTGAGGCCTCAGGATGGCCACAAGTCAGGAGGGGAAAAAACACACAGACACAATTCATCCTCGACTCCCAGGAAAATCTGGGAAAATATGGGAAGTGGGGGGGAAGATAAAAGCCCAGAAACTATGGGAAAATATCGGGGGGATCATTGGATTTGTGTATATTCATCCGTGTGTCCTTGGGCCCCTTGAGCGAGCCCCCGAGCGAGCGAGCCCCAGGAGGGGCCGTGCGCGCAGCCGCCGAAGCCGTCTGCCCCCGGCCATCCCGCGCCTCCGGCGGGGCCCGGCGCCAGCGCGGACCATGCGGACGCTCGAGTCGGCCATGAGCTCGCCGACCCGCACGGGCCGGCAGGGGTCAGTCTGCAGTAGGTCGGGGCCTAAGAGACGGGGGTCAGTGCAAATGGGGGTCAGCCAGGGCACCGGATCCTGCAGGATCCTGCGAAGACCCCCTCTGGCTGACCCGGGTCAGCGAGCCGCTCGTGGCCGCGAGGCGGCCGCGCATATTGGTTGATCCGGGTTTGCGAAGACCTGCATTGCATTTTTTTCCCTTGCATTGCAGTTTTTTGGTTTCCTGCTGACCCGGGTCTGGATTGACCCGGGTCAGAAGATCCCCGAGTAGGTTTAAGTCGGGCCTGTTTCTCTACAGGGGGAATGCGTGGGCACACTGTTGAATAACCCCACGGAGCGCATGCCTCGATGAGCCTCACAGAACTGCGACCTCAGAGAGCATGGCGAGTCCAATCGCGCTGCCACCAGAGTCTCGGGACGAGGCCTGAACCATGACGGGAAGAGATCGGCGGCACGCTCTGGGGGGAGCAGGCATGGACGACGGGCCATCTCAAAAAGGCTCGGTTTAAGTCGGGCCTGTCTCTCTGTAGGGGGAATGTACCAAAAATAGTCAAAATTATCCCAGTGCGACCCTACCTAGGAGTTGGAGCATTTAGGACAGCAACATCTACATCTACACCGACATATACATTTACATCTACACCTGTATCTACATCTACATCAACATCAACAGCGAGACTCACATCTACATCTACATCTACACCTACATCTACACCTAGCGCCCCGCTGCACTAGGCTTCGAGGCCCCTGCATCCTTATCGTGCATCCTTAGATGTGTGTTATGCTAGGCAATGCTATGCTATGCGATGCTGCGCTATGCTTTGCTATGCTTTTCTATGCTATGCTATGCTATGCTGCGCTATGCTATGCTATGTTATGATATGATATGCTATGCTGCGCTATGCTATGCTATGCTAGGCTATGAAATGCTATGCTGTGCTCTGCTATGCTATGCTGTGCTATGCTATGATATGCTGTGTTATGCTATGCTATGCTGCGCTGTGCTATGCGAAGCAGTGCTATGAGATGCTATGATATGCTATGCTGCGCTACGCAATGCTATGCTATGCTATGCTGAGCTATGCTATGCTATGCTATGCTGAGCTATGCTATGCTCAGCTATGCTGTGCTAATGCTGCGCTGCGCTATGCTGCGTTGCGCTAAGCTAAGGTAAGCTATGCTAAGCTAAGCTAAGCTAAGATAGGCGGGGCTGAGCTAAGCCAAGCTAAGCTAAGCTAAGCTAAGCTAAGCTAAAGCTAAGCTAAGCTAAGCTAAGATGCTATATGCCAAGCTAAGCCAAGCTGAGCTAAGCTAGGCTAGGCAAAGCTAAGCTAAGCTAAGCTGATATAAGCTAAGCTTAGCTAAGCTAAGCTAAACTAAGCTAAGCTGGGTGGACCCAGGGGGCGCAACTAAGGGAACCGCGGGGCGGATGCCGGGGGAAACGCCCGGGGCGTGTTCCATTGCCCGGCCTTTGAAGCACAGCCAGTAAGAACCTTTCTAGGCAGAGCCTAGGTAGGGAATAATTGTCTGGGGACGACGTTTTGAGTATTTTTGAGCATTTTGGGAATATGTCTTGACAATTTTTAATTTTCCGCCCAGAATCCCCCTGTACGGGGACAGGCCCGACCTAACAGTAGGTTCGCGTCGTGTCGACCTGCGGCGACCCCGCCGACGGCGTTCCCTGTTGAACGCCGCCGACGACCCAGAATCGGTCGATGTCGGACGATCTGCCGTGTTGGAAGCGGCCGATCGTTCAAGGTTGAACGGTCTCCGCGGTGTCAGGAACTAACGCCGGGGTGGGCATGGCACGAACCTGCCGTAGCCTATTATGGGCAACGTTAGGGGGGGAAAAGCTCTGGGCGGGATGCATGGACCCCCAATCGCCAATAGGGGCCTGATAGCCCAACCCGCCCAGGAAAGTGTGGATCTGCTAGGTATCGGGAGTCAATCGCCAATCTAGCTGCGATGTATCGTCGATTCTGGGTCGATGATTCCCCCCCACATGAGCCAGAAATTCCCGGATCTTGTCGATTTGTCCAGGTGCCACCGGCAACCCCCACCATGCCAGCGCAGCAGCACAGCCGGGATGAGGTTGGGTTGTAGGCCAATTCCAGCAACAGGGGTCGTTTGGGGTTTGCCCCGCCTCCCCCCACCTCATCCCTCCTCATCCTCTTGTTCCCTCCTTTCCTCTTCTCCTCTCCAACCTCTTCCTGCTCCCCTGGGGGTTTGGAGGCGGCTTGACTGCACTGGGGAGATGTCCTCACTGGCACGTGTATGCAGCACCCCTTCTTTGTATTCAGCACTCAGCCTCGTTATCCTTCTGTGCCTCCTTCCTTTTCCCTCATTCCTTCTCCTCCATTCCACCAAAAGCAGGCTATGAGTTGAGGGTGTCCCCAAGCAAACGGTGTGCACTTGGGGCACTGCCTAATTATGCCAACTTCGAAAACAAACTGTCGAATGGTTTTCCTGGTCGTAGACCTGGCAGATTGGTCAGTTATCTGCTTCCGCGCTTGTCTTTGCGTAATCATGGAGATCAGTGCCTGTGCAGTCTACCCTCGTGATCCCCTTCCCACTCCCGCGGTGCCCAGAAGGTTCTGTGATGTTCCACCTGTCTCCGCACATGGGGCGAGGGGCAGGGAGTAGTCGTAGTAGTAGTAGTAGTAGTAGTAGTCGTCGTCGTCGTCGTCGTCGTCGTCGTCGTCGTCGTAGCAGTAGTAGTAGTAGTAGTAGTAGTAGTAGTAGTAGTCGTCGTAGTGCTAGTAGTAGTAGTAGTAGTAGTAGTAGTAATAATATTAGTAGCAGTAGTAGTGGTAGTTGTGGTAGTAGTACGAGTAGTAGTAGTAGTAGTAGTAGTAGTAGTAGTAGTAGTAGTAGTAGTAGTAGTAGTAGTAGTAGTAGTAGTAGTAGTACAGCAGTCCCCTAGGCCGAGGACAGAGACAGGGCGCACGGGCGAGGGGGCAGCCACGGACAGGGGCGCCCTCGAGGGCGCGAAGCCATTCGCGCTTCGCGGTCTGGGGGGTGGGCGCGAGAGCGCGAAGTTTTTTCGCGCTTCGCGCAGCGCGAGGCGCGAAATTCGGCGCCCTTGCGGAGCAGCGTGGGGGGGTGGGGGAGAGCGTGGGGGCGGGGCGGGGGCTGCCACGGGTGTCCTTGGCCAGGTGCCGCCGCCAGGAGTTCCCGAGGAGGCCCTCCACGGCCTCCCGAGGTCGCGCGGCCCGAGGGGGCCCCCTCCAGGATGGGGCGACCGGCTGGGGGCGCCCTGGGCCAGGGGCGCTTCCGGCAGCTTCCTCAGAGGTGCAGATGGACAGCCCTGGCCGCAGAAGCCCCCCCCCCCCTACAGGGGCAGCGTCGGGGGGGGCTGGCCCAGGGAGGGGGGCATCGTCCCCCAGTCGCCCGCGCCTCGCCGATCGGGGCCAGAGGCCCCCCCCGCCCCGCCCGGGAACGTGCGCGGTTCCGCTATCGGGGGCCGATCGCTGATCCGTCGGCAACGTTCGGGTGTTGCTAGAAGTACCCCTGTCCCAAGGTACCCCCAGGGTTCTCGGGGTGGCCCAGATGGCCTCCAGGGCACCCCTGATGAGGCCCAGAGGGCCCTGGGGGCTCCAAAATGAAGCGAAAAGCTGGGGGTACCTTGGGCCAGGGGCACTTCTAGCAACACCCGAAACGTGTCGCCGATTCCAGGCTACTGCCCCCCCCCTCCCCGCCCCTGAGCAAGGCCACCCTGTCGGCCCTCATCACTCCTACATAGGGGGGCGAACAATGACATAAACATAAAAACTCGGAGGTCCGCGCGGATTTCTGGGATCGGTGCTGGACCCCCTCCCTGGTGCGCTCCGCGCGCCAGGGGCGGCGCCAGAGGCGCCGCCTCGGGGGTCCAGCGCCGGTCCGAGAAATCCGCGCGGACCTCTGAGTTTTTATGTTTATGTCATTGTTCGTCCCCCTTCTACAGCCCAGCCCCCCGACGCCGCGAAGTTTTCGCACCGTGGATCACCGGAGGGCTCGACCCCTTCCGCGGGATGTTTTTTTCGCCTCGCGGCAGGCTGTTGACGGCATCCGGGCCTGCGCAGAGCCCTCCCCCCCTGGGGGGGGAAAAAGGTTTGTTTGGTTTGCCGAGAACGTCACGACGTGTTTTTGTTCACGCCTCGAGAGAGTCCAGGACCTCGACTCAAGGGCGCCCTTGGGCGCGAAGTGATTCGCGCTTCGCGGTTCGGCTCCGATTCCTCTTCATCCTGCTCTTCTCCCCTGGGTTCTCCCGTGGGAGGCGGCGCGAGAGCGCGAAGTTATTCGCACTTCGGGCTTCGCGCTGCGCGAAGCGCGAAGTTGGGAGCCCTTGCTACTCCCCCCTCCTTCTCCCCAGACCCCCTCGGGTCATGAGCAAAAATCATGACGGGCTGTTTTTCTATATTTTCTGCCTCTGGGGGCTCTTCGGGCCTCGGGACCATCCAAAAGCGATTCGGGATGAGAAACCAGTCCCGGGGAATGGGTCGAGAGATCTTGGGGTCGACGTTATGAACAAATCATGACGTCGGGGGTTTGTGACCTTCGTTCCTCCTGTTCTCCCTCATCTCGGGGCAGCACCGACAGCAGCAGGAGGCTCAGAAGGCCTCCAGCCCTCAGGGAAACTTGCTCTGAGCCTCCCCGCCGCTTCTTGCAGGCCCGGAGCGCTGCCGAGAAGCCCCGCCGCGTCACCGAGGGAGGCCTTCCCCCGCGTCTCGCTTCCCGCCTCTGTGCGCCGCCGAAGCACCCCTCCACGGCCCTGGCGTCGCTCGTGCGTGTGCGTTTTCTTTCTCGGCCAGCGTCTTTCAGGAGGGGAACAAAAACACAGACACGATCCTCGATTCCCCAGAAAATGTAAGAAAATATGGGAAGTGGGCGGGGAGACAGAAACCCAGAAAATATGGAAAAATAGGGGGAATCCTGTGATTTGTGTGTACTTATTTGTGTGTGTGTGTGTCCTTGGGCCCCTTGAGTCTTGAAGCTCATCCTGCGAGCACGGGGAAGCGCCTCAGGCCGAACAGCCAGCACGGGGAGCACAGGCGTCCGAGCCACGGGCGAGGCGGAGCGAGGCCTGCGCGGCCTCCCGTGCGGAGGCTCTCGGCAGACCCCCGGGGGGTCTCGGCCCATCGGTGGCCAGGCGTGAGGGGCCTCCGGGCCCCGCCTCTCTCTCTCTCTCTCGCTGCGGCCCTGGTGCAAGGCTCGGCCGCCCGCGCCCTCGCTCCTCGCCCGCGCGCGAGGGACCTTCGACCGGCCCGCATCCTCACGACCCTCGCTCGAACAAGAAAACACGCCATGAACATCAACTGTTGGCGCTCCGCGCGGATTTCTCGGATCCGCGCTGGGCCCCCCCCCCGGCGGCGCCCTCGGCGCCGCCCCTGGCGTGCGGGGGGCCAGCGCAGATCCAAGAAGTCCGCGCGGGACCCCAAAAGTTGTTGTTTCTGGCGTTTTCCGCCCGCCCGATCCGCCCGCTGGGGCCCGCCCGCCCGATCCGCCTGCTGGGGCCCGCCTGCCCGTTGCAGTCGGCCCTGATTAGTAGGTCGGCCCTGCCAGATCAAGGGTACGATGGTGTCCTCTGCCTCGCGACCCGTGCCTTCGCACATTCCTGTGGCAACGCGGCCCTCGGATGGGGCTTGTGGTCTCAAGCGTGTCCTCTCCAATCGAGTCCGACTGCAGGGTCCGCCCGCCCGACCCGCCCGTGAGGCTGGCGTCATCGTCTCTGATGTCGTCGCCGTCGTCTCCGCTTCACCTCCCCCCCCCCTTCGAGTAGGGGATCGACTGCAGAATTGAGTTACTCCAGCACTGATTCTTTCGTCGACCCTACAAAACAGAGAGGGAGCATGCTCCGTGGATCTACGGAGCACTCTGCGCATGTGTTCGCATGTTCGACAGGAAGATCCAGCCTGGGGTAAATCAGGTCTTCCGTCGACCCCCTGCTCGACCCCCTCCCACCTCGGGGAGGCAGCGACAGCAGCGACGACGAGAGGCCCCACGGTGCGCGCCCCGGGCCCCCCCCCGCGGCGGCGCGCGCGCGCGGATCGGTGCGCCGACGGCGTTGCTGACCCCTCGAGGCCTCCACCGTGGGCGGAAAACACGCAGTCGGACCGAGGTCTGGGATCCAGGTCGGTTCGGGGAGGGTGGCCTGTTTTTTTTCGTGTGTGTTGGCTGTTCTTGTGCATCCTGGGGAGTGTACCCCTGGATGTTCTGTTCTTTTTGGCACAACAGGGCCTCATGTTCTCGAGGGATGTTCTTGTGGCCTAGATCCGACTGTCTGAGAATTTGCATGCTGTTACCGCTGTCTTCGGAACATACTGGCAGGACGTGATTGCCAACTCACGTGAAACATGTCCTGGGATCTGGGCGCTAGCCATTACTGGAGCTGAGGACCGCAGCTCTTCCCTGATCATGCCCGCGGCCTCGCGGGCCGGGCCCCTGGGCCGAAAGACCCCGCAGATGCGGGGCGCGTTTCTGTTCGCGGAGGCCCCGCGCGGAGCGCATCCGTGCGGCCGCGCACCCGCGGGCTCGCACCCAGACCGCGAGGATGTGGATACGGATGTGTTCACCGCTCGTGATCTCAGCCAGATCCCTTGGCATCGCTCGGACGTGTGCACTTTTTCTCGGCGGGGATTATGAAGGAGCATCCTGGGTCATCCTGCGAAAAAACTACGCACGAAACCGAAAACAGCACAGGGAGTGGACGTCCGAGCGATGGCCAGACCCAGTGAGAGCAAGACCGTCCGCTGTTCTCAGAGGAGGGAAAGGTACCGATTATGACATGTCCCTGACTCGAGGGGGTCTGGGACCTCCTCCTCCCTCTTCCCCCTCACCTCGGGGCAGCAGCGACAGCAGCAGGAGACTCTTCAGACCTCCTGCCTCGAGGGGAAGCCTTCGAAGCCTCCTCCGAGGACGAAGGCAGCCCTCTCCGAAGTCGAAGGGCCCTCCTCCTCGGAAGGCCGGAGGGCTTCCGAGAGGCCCCGCCGACTGCTCGGCGGGCCCGCCTCCTCTCGCCTCCCCCCTCGCCGCTCCGCCGAATCACTCCCCCCCTCCTCCGCCCCCTCTCCCGCTCAGCCTGACGAGCGAACGTACAGTCAACGCGCCCAGTAAGGACGCGCGCCTTCATCTAGGATACCCTTGCGTCCTTGCCTCTGAGGCTCGTCCTTGCCATTATCACTGGTTGCCCGCCGCTCTAAAAAACCCAACGTCGGCCTCCAAGGGTCTTGCGTCCTTATCACCCGTCCTGAATATACGTTTTGACTGTAGTGGTAATCGCCGCCCAGCACTGGTCTATGCGCAGTGGCCGTGACCCGGCGCACGCGCCTCCAGCATCAGATTCTGCACACGTTCTGGCCTTCGTCTCCGTGCCAATCTGTGCCGATGCGCGCCGCCTGGGCGCGGCTCCTTCCCGTCCTGCCCTGTCCTCCCCCTCCTCTCCCGCCCAGCCCGATGAGAGTGCTGCCTCGGTGCCGCGGGCTGTCTCGGATGCTCCGACGGCCCACCCGCACACGAGCAGCGTCTCGGCGGCTCCCCTTGGCCCGCCTCAGGGCCAACGAGGAGGCAGGGGCCTCGGGGGTGATTCCACTCGGGGCGATCCCCCACTGCTTCTGGCGCTGTCGCCTCCCGACCTTCCCCGGGGTCCATCCACGCTTTTCCGTGCAGTGGAGGCCCATGCCAAGAAGCACCCTGCTTGCCTCCAGGGTGCCATGGGCTTCTCGGATGTTTCGGCGGTCTTGCCATGGAGAGCGTGCCGCTTCCGCACCAAACATCCATGAACGTCCTGTGGTCTCAGGGTTGTGAGGGACCGATTTCCCACCACCCCTACCATATGTAGGTAGGGGAGGGAGGAGGAGGAGGAGGAGGAGGAGGAGGAGGAGGAGAAAGAGGAGGAGGAGGAGGAAGAAGAAGGAGACGGAGGAGGAGCAGGAGGAGGAGGACGAGGAGGAGGAGGAGGAGGAGTAAGAGGAAGAGGAGGAGGAGGAGAGAGGAGGAGGAGGAGGAGGAGGAGGAGGAGCAGGAGCAGGATGAGGAGGAGGAGGAGGAGGAAGACCTCTCCATCCTCCTTTTTCCGCCGTCCTACCTGTGGTAGTGGTGGTGGAAGATTGGCCCATCAGGTTGGGCTTCTCGTGGGAGGCTTCTTGTGGACTGTCCTCCGCTGTGGCCGCCTCGGCTCGGGCGCCTCGGCCCCCGCGCGGGGGCCGTCCGGTGAGGTATTGTTTGGGTTTTGTATCATGTTGGGGGCCGAGACCGCGTGAGGGCAGATGACCACCCAACATTTACCTAAGAGGGGTTTCAGGCAGTCCTGGAGAAACCCCAAGACGTCCCAACATGGCCCCACGATGGCCCGAAGAGAGCCCTTCAACGGCTCAAGATGGCCCCAAGATGCCCCCCCTTTGGGCTCCGTTGGGCCATCGTGAGGCCTCAACGCCGCGTCAGAACCGAACCAGCGAGAAGGCAAACAGCGTTGGTGTTCCTCAGCTTACTGGAAGGGGATTTGGGCCTCTTGGGGACTTCCTGAGGGTCTCCGAGAGCAGTTGGAGCCGTCTTGTGGTCCTCTTGGAGCCTTGCGAGGCATGTCGGAAACCATCTCGAACCATCTTGGGCCAGGGGTCTTCTTGGAGCCATCTCGAGCGCTTTGACCGCTCGCGGACCCACCGAAAAACCGCAGGGAGGGGGGGCAGTGTACCCCTTATGAAACGAATCGTTAAAAACTTCCGCCAGGGGGCTGGTTGGATGATTCGAGTGGGGCAGAACATGTGGACCATTCCCGAAGGAGGGGGGGGAGGCCATCATCGCTTGCAATGGCCGCGTGGTTGTGGCCAGGGTTATAGACGATGGTTCGGTGAGTCATTGGGACTGATATTGGTTCAGGGCACGTCTTCCCTCGCTCAGGCTACGCTTTCGTCCAGGCGAGAGGATAACGATCGATAGGAGGTGACAACCCAACATTGACAATCTGCCGGACGCAAAGCAAAGCACCCCGCCTGCCGCAAGGGCCTGAAGACAGCCTGACGTTCCGAGGTTTCCACTGCGCTTCTTCTCCAGGCGAGAGTTCCAAGTATTCCCTCCGTGTGCGCACTGCCCCCTGCAGTGCCCCCCCCCCCCCACGTATTGGCCCCCGTGTCCTGCCCCCCCCCCTGCGCTGCCCCTCGTGTCCCCGTGCGTCACCCCCGAGTGCTGCCCCATGTCGTGCCCGCGTGCGTAGACTCATGTCGGGCCTGTCCCTCTACAGGAGAAGTAGTCAAAAAATAGTCTGGGGACCATATTTTGACTATTTTTGAGCATTTTGGGGGTATCTTGTGATTTTTTGGGGGGCCCAAAATCCCCCTGTAGGGGGACAGGCCCGACCTAAGCGTAGGCCCCTGTTGCATGGCCTGCAGAGGCTGGACCCCTCCCACCCAGCAGCGCTGCGCGGGGACACGTGCGGGCCGTCTGGGCCTCACTCCTGTTGGTGGTGGTGCGGTTCTGCGTGTGCCCGCCGAGCCGCTGGGATGGGGGGGTCTCGGAGCGGGGGCTCGGAGTTGCACACGTCGCGCTGGAAGGGAGTGCACACGTGATCCGACTAGCATCAACGTAAACGTGCACGCCGGTCGTTGAGACTGGGTATTTCTGGATTCCCGGTTGCCCATCTACTTCGAGCGCCTTCCTTTTTCAAGAGTCGATCTGCTTTTGCTGTGTTTGGCAATTCTCTGGGAGTGCCTGGACCCAATCTACTTTCTCCGCCTTCCTGCATCATGTTCTTACCCACTTCTTCCGACCGACGTGTAAACCACAGAGGTCCGCGCGGATTGCGCTCGACTCTTGCCTTTTCTCTGTCCTTCCCCCCCCAGCTATCCGCCGTCGTGATTTCTCACAACGTGGCTCCTCAGAGGTCTGGATCCCTCCCCTTGGCATCGCTCGGGCGTGTGCATTTTTCTCGGCGAGGACATTCGAAGAGCATCCTGGATCATCGTGCGAAAAAACGCGCACGAAACCGAACAGTGCACAAGGAATGGACGTCCGAGCGATGGCATCTCCCTTGAACCGGGGGCCCGAGCGAGCGATGGCATCTCCCGCGCGCGCGTGGCGGCCCCTGGGGGCCCCCGGAAGAAACGTACCCGGGCAACGTCCCGGCAGGTCCCCGGCAAGACTGGGTCACGGATGCCATGAGCTCCTGGGCGCAGCCCTGGAGGCCTCCTGCGCGCCCTGGGAGCGTGCCACCAGTGCCACCGGGCGCGCCGCTTCTGGCAGCGGCGCGAGGGTCCTTCCCGGCGCGCGCCGCGCAGGCTTCGGGCTGCACAGGATCGCCCTGGTCGGGCTGGTCGCGGGGCTACTGCTGGTCCGTCCCCGGGGGCGCTCCGAGACGCCTGGGGGAGGGGGGGGGGCAGGGGCGGGCAGGCGCGCGGGGGAGCTCTCCGTCCCTGGCATCGCTCGGACGTGTGCCTTTCTTTTCTCGGCGAGGACCATCGAGGAGCGTCCTTGATCATTTGGCGAAAAAACCACGCACGACACCGAACGAAAACACAGGGAATGGACGTCCGAGCGATGGCGAGGTGCTGCTGTTGGCGCCGCTGGGACGTGTGCCTTTTTTTTCTCGGCGAGGACCCTCGAGGAACATCTTGACTCTTCTGGGCCTCGCCACGTCGGCGAGCGAGGGGGAGGTGAGAAGGGGCGGGCCTTCTCAGAAGGCTCGGAAGGCCTCAGGCCTTCTGGGAAAGTTTCGCTAAGCCCTCCCCGAAGGCACAGAAAACTTCTCAGAAGGCGGGAGGGCTTCTGAGGGTCCGAGTAGGTGGGTCGGAGGATCGCGACGCGTCGCCGATGTATCGGCGATGCGGCTCGATGTGGATCCCGATGTTCTCCACGCCGACGGCGTCGATGCATCGCAAACGTCGCTGGTGCATCGCCAATATATCGGCGATGCATCGCTGATGATCGGCGATGTGGCGCGATCTTACGACCCCGTCTACTCCGACCCCATCTAGGCTCTATGAGGCTTCTAGGCGAACACCTGGATAAATCTTGCGCAACATGATCGACACACGAACCCAGAAAGGAATGTAGAAATGTGGAACATGGTAATTGTTCGAAACACCACATTTGGGCGACGGGCAATTGAAATGCTGGTAGGGATGGTGATGTACAGTGCCAGGAGCTGTGCTTTGCTGTGCTGTGATGAACTGAGACGCGCCATGCCATGTTGAAGTGCTGTGCTCTATTGCATTGTGGATCAGGTCGTTCGTGGCGTCAGAATCCTGATCGAACTGATCTGGATCTTAAGCTCGAGCTGCCTGAACGCATAATTCAGAGCTGGCCGCAATCAAAACGCGCGGGGCGCTCGACCAGCTCGAGCTCAAGATCCAATTCAGATCGGAAGCGGGACGAATCGAAAGGGGGCGAATCTGAACACTTTGCTCTCTTGCGTCGTGGATCAAATCTTCCCTGGCATCCGAATCCTGACAGAACTGAGCTGGGCCTCAAGCTCGAGCTGCATGGGCAGATTGCTCGCCCTCAGCTGACTGCAATTGAGTCCTTATGAGAGGGGTTCTGTTCCGCAAGAGGTCGAAATGATAATGGCGAATCCAAGCCGACGCGACATGCATCGAGAAGGGGCGGGCCGAAACGCCGACGACGACAACGACGGCGGACGGCGACGACCGAGACCGTGGTTCCAGCTCGGGGCCACAATGTTGGATTCCTTTCTGAGTGGCCTGGAGACGTGCAAACACGTGGTTCCAGCTCGGGGCAACTGTGTGAGATCCCCCAGTGGGAAGTCGGGAAACTCACCAACTGAAGGAACTGTGTCAGGTTATTGCACATCTGGTGTAGATTTCAGTCAGGCCTGTCCCTCTACAGGGGGAATATCCAAAAATTGTCAAAATATAGCCTGGGGACTATTTTTTGAGCATTTTTTCATACCGTTTTGGAATAGGTTTTGCGCATGTTTATATATATATATATATATATATATATATATATATAAAAAAACAAAAAAATCGCCGACTATCCCCCTGTAGGGGGACCCGCCCGACCTAAGTGTAGATGCATTGATTTTGTCTGGCTCCTGCGGGCCCCCACGCTGGGGCCGCCCGTACGACCACGCGTGGCGTGTTAGATGCCCCCCCCCCCCGGCGGTGGCCCGCGCACGCAAAAAGCCAAGTGGTTCCAGCTTGGGGTAGCCATGTGAGCAAGGGCGCCCTCGAGGGCGCGAAGTTATTCGCGCTTCGCGGTCCTCGTTCCTTCTCCCCCTCCTCCTCGTCCTCCTCTTCTCCCTTTGGGGGGGCGGCGCGAGAGCGCGAATTGTTCGCGCTTCGCGGAGCGCGAAGCGCGAAGTTGGGAGCCCTAGGTTAGATGCCCCTCTGGGTGGCCTGGGCTCGTGAACACATGGTACTCCAGCTCGGGACCACCATGTCAGATGCCCCTCTGGGTGGCCTGGACGTGTGAAAACACGTGGTCCCAGCTCGCGGCCATTTTGCCAGATACCCCTGTGGGTGCCCTGGGCACATGAACACATGTGGTTCCAGCGAGGGGCAACAGGCATCCATCTTCGATACCCCCTCCCCTGAGCGGCCTGAACACGTGAAACAAAACGTGCCTCCAGCGCGGGACCACCGTGCTAGATACCCTCCATGGGTGGCCAGGACACGTGAGCAAACACGTGGTTCCAGCTCGGGACCACCATGTCAGATGTCCCCCCGGGTGGCTGGGGCCCTGGGGAGGCCTCCTGAGGCCTTCTGGGGATGCCTCCTGGGTCGTCTGGGGGGGGGAGCTCGGGGCCATCATGTCAGATGCCCTCCGGGTGGCCTGGGCACGCAGAGTAGCGTAATTCCAGCTTGGGCCCCCCCCACGTGAGGGATCCCCTTTGGGTGGCCATGAACACGGAGCAGCACATGGGTCCAGCTCTCGGGCGCCAGGAACCCGCGTGCGTTCACGTCTGTCCCCACCTTGAGGCGTCAGGAACCCATGCGTGTTTTTCACGCTGACGCCCGCTCTCGGGCGTTAGGAGCCCACGTGCTTTCACGCTTGTCCCGCGCTGGGGCGTTAGGAACCCACGTGTTTTCACGCTTGTCCCGCCCTCGGGCGTTAGCAACCCGCGTGCTTTCACGCTTGCCCCGCGCTGGGGCGTTAGGAACCCAAGTGATTTCACGCTTGTCCCGCTTTCGGGCGTTAGGAACCATGCGTTTTCACGCATGTCCCGCGCTGAGGCGTTAGGGACGTACGTGTTTTCATGCTTGTCCCGCGCTGGGGCGTTATGATCCCATGTGTTTTCACGCTTGTCCCACTGTCTGGCGTTAGGAACATGTGTGCTTTTACATTGGTCTCGCCTTGAGGCGTTACCAACCCGTGTGTTTTCACGCTTGTCCCGCTCTGAGGCGTTAGGAACCGATGTAGTTTCACGCTTGTCCCGCGCTGGGGCGTTAGGAACCTATGTGTTTCCACGCTTGTCCCGCGCTGGGGCGTTACGAACCCATGATTTGTTTACGGATGCTCCATGGATCACCTGGACAGTAAAATTAGCCTGGCGAAGGACCCAACCATATGCAGTTGTGAATGCCGCAATTGTGCTGGGTGGTGGCGGACGCATGCGGGCGGTGCCACTGGGACCTTCGGTGGAGCTCCCTATGGGGCCACGAAACGCTGTACTGGGTGGGTGAGACGCGGTCAGCAAGGGCTGTGCTGCGTGGTGGCGGACGCATGCGAGCGGTGCCACTGGGACCTTCGGTGGAGCTCCCTATGGGGCCACGAAACGCTGTACTGGGTGGGTGAAACGCAGGCAGGGAGCAAGGGCTGCGCAGGGTGGTGGCGGACGCATGCGGGCGGTGCCGCTGGGACCTTTGGTGGAGCTCCCTATAGGGCTACGAAGCGCTGTTCTGGGTGGGTGAAGCGCAGGGAACAAGGGCTGTGCTGGGTGGTGGCGGACGCAAGCGGGCAGTGCCACTGGGACCTTTGGTGGAGCCCCCTATGGGGCCACGAAACGTGCGAGGGGTGTGCCAGAATGGGGTGTGGAACCGCATGCCAGCGCAGCCACTGGGGCCTTCGGTGGAGCTCCCTATGGAGCCACGAAACGTGTGAGGGGTGTGCCGAAATGGGGGGTGGAACCGCATGCGAGCGCAGCCACTGCGGCGTTCGGTGGAGCTCCCTATGGGGCCACGAGACGTGTGAAGGGCGTGCCGAAAAAGGGGTGGAACCGCATGCGAGCGCAGCCACTGGGGCCTTCGGTGGAGCTCTCTATGGGGCCACGAACCGTGTGAGGGGTGTGCCGAAATGGGGGGGGGAACCACATGCGAGCGCAGCCACTGGGGCGTTCGGTGGAGCTCCCCATGGAGCCACCCACGAAGCGTGTGAGGGGTGTGCCGAAATGGGGGGTGGAACCGCATGCGAGCGCAGCCACTGGGGCCTTCGGTGGAGCTCCCTATGGGGCCACGAAACGTGTGAGGGGTGTGCCAGAATGGGGTGTGGAACCGCATGCGGGCGCAGCCACTGGGGCCTTCGGTGGAGCTCCCTATGGGGCCACGAAACGTGTGAGGGGTGTGCCAGAATGGGGGTGGAACCGCATGCGGGCGCAGCCACTGGGGCCTTCGGTGGAGCTCCCTATGGGGCCACGAAGCGTGTGAGGGGTGTGCCAGAATGGGGGGTGAAACCGCATGCGGGCGCAGCCACTGGGGCCTTCGGTGGAGCTCCCTATGGGGCCACGAACCGTGTGAGGGGTGTGCCGAAATGGAGGGGGGGGAACCACATGCGAGCGCAGCCACTGGGGCGTTCGGTGGAGCTCCCCATGGAGCCACCCACGAAGCGTGTGAGGGGTGTGCCAGAATGGGGGGTGGAACCGCATGCGGGCGCAGCCACTGGGGCCTTCGGTGGAGCTCCCTATGGGGCCACGAAACGTGTGAGGGGTGTGCCAGAATGGGGGGTGGAACCGCATGCGGGCGCAGCCACTGGGGCCTTCGGTGGAGCTCCCTATGGGGCCACGAAACGTGTGAGGGGTGTGCCAGAATGGGGGGTGGAACCGCATGCGGGCGCAGCCACTGGGGCCTTCGGTGGAGCTCCCTATGGGGCCACGAAACGTGTGAGGGGTGTGCCAGAACGGGGGGTGGAACCGCATGCGGGCGCAGCCACTGGGGCCTTCGGTGGAGCTCCCTATGGGGCCACGAAACGTGTGAGCGGTGTGCCAGAAGGGGGGGTGGAACCGCATGCGGGCGCAGCCACTGGGGCCTTCGGTGGAGCTCCCTATGGGGCCACGAAACGTGTGAGGGGTGTGCCAGAATGGGGGGTGGAACCGCATGCGGGCGCAGCCACTGGGGCCTTCGGTGGAGCTCCCTATGGGGCCACGAAACGTGTGAG